GAGGTGGACTGGGGGCGGGGCCAAAACGCTGGGAGGTGGTGGGTGGGGCCAGAACACTGGGAGGTGGGCAGGGGCGGAGCCAGAACTCTGGGATGTGGGATGGGCGGGGCCATAACACTGGGAGGTGGGCAGGGGCGGGGCCAGAACTCTGGGAGGTGGGATGGGCGGGGCCAAAACACTGGGAGGCGGGCTGGGGGCGGGGCCAATACGCTGGGAGGGGGGCTGGGGGCAGGGCTGGTGGACACCGGGAGGGAGCTGGGGGAAGGCCAGGGAGCCCTGGAGAAGGACTAGAGCATTGCTTGGGGGCTCCCAGAGGGGGCTGGAGGCGGATCCGGGGACCCCTGTGAGCAGCAGGCTCTCTAGGATGGAGACCAGTGAGGAAGGGCGTCCCCCAGAGAACAGGGTGTGGCCCTGGCTGTGGGGCCTCCAGCCCCTCCCTAGGCCTGTCTGAGCCCGAACTTGACCACGGCGGGACAGCCCTGCCTTGGGTCTTTGCTGCTCCCCGCCAGGTCGGCGGTTTGAACCCAGCAGCGCATGCACGGCCGTGCGGGAGAACCATGCACCGCTCTGCTGCGGTCCAGATGGGACAGCCCAGGAAACCCACCGGGGCAGTTCGACGGCGTCCGTAGGGGTCGTCAAGGATTGGGAATCCGCTCGGGCAGTAGTTTTGGTTTGGGGGTTGATGACCAAGGAAAGGCGGCAGGGTGGCGCTGCAAACCGGCAGGTTGTTGCTGGGAGCCCACCTGCTGATGCGCAGGCAGCCGTCCAAAACGCCCTGGGGGCGGTCTCGCTGTCACGTGGGGCCACTCGGGTTTGAACGGACTCCAGGACATTGAGACTTCTCTGCTCACATAGGACAACAGTGAACTGCCCCGTGGGTTTCCCAGACTGTAACTCATCCGTAGAAAGCCTCATCTTCCTCCCTCCCAGCGAGCAGCCTGTGGCTTCGAACTGCTGACCTTGCAGTTAGCCCCCTGATGCATGACCACTGCACCAGGGGGCGCATAATGGCTCTGAGCAACCCTTCGGGCCATGGCTCCCAGGCTAGGGCCAGCCTAGGCAGTCTGCCCTCAGACCCTGGATGTCCCGTAAAGTCACAGAACCCTGCCTGCGCGCAGAGCCCCAGGCCCTGAAGTGGTTCCTTCTGCCGGCTGGGCCAAGGAGAGGGCCTGGTTGAAGTGGTTTTGCCTCCCAAGCTGGGCCAGCTGAGCAGTCCTTCATCCTAATGTTTGATGTCAGGGCGGGGCTGGACCGAGGTCGCCCCCATGCTGTGCCTGAGGTTTGGGCCCCCCACAGTGTGACCAGAGCCATGGCATATGGACAAATGGTGGGGGTCCCCACAGGTGGCCTGGTATTCCACTGGACAGTGGCTGACGGGATCCACACAGGGTGCCCAGCTCCGGGTGAGGCTCTGATGGGAACAGACTTTGTGGCAGAGCAGGGCCCCAGGGCCAGATGGTCCCTCTCTGACCGACCGACAGGCAGCGGCCAGTGATGGGTGTGTCCGGGTGCAGGCCGTGTCCTGGGGCCGGCTGGGTTTCTCGCCAACTGTTTCCTCGTTGCTGTTAGAAGTGTGACACGGAGGGACAGAGCCAGTTCTGCGGTGACCGGGCCCAGGGCCGGGGCCGGGTGACCGCCTTTGCAGCCTCAGCCCTTCTCTGTCACCTGGACCCCTCAGCTTCCCGTCTGACCTTTCTCCTTGCCCTTGGGGCTCTCCGAGTGCCCCCATCCGGTTCCTAAGGGTGGTTTCCGAAGTGGACGGCCAGGCCTTTCTTCCGAGACGCCCCTGCCCCAGCAGACCTCGTCCACCGGGTCTACCACCACACTCCCTGTCATTGAGGCCACCGACTCGTAGCGCCCGGATAGGACCGGGTAGAACGGCCCCTGTGGGTTTCCAAGACTGTAACTCTTTACCGGAGTGGAAAAACCGAAGCAAACTCACG